CTTTCCCCCCCCCCCCCCCCCTGAATAGGCCAGTTGCTGGAGCTACAACTCGAGCTAGAATATTGACCCAAATGTTTGTAGACCTGGTGAAGGATGCTTTTCACGAACACGGATATTTTGCAAAGGTTGCTGACCTGGACTATAAGTTATTCGATGCCACTCGTGGTTTCGAAATACAGATTGATGGCTACAGCGATAAGCTGCTCATTCTTGCTCACAGGATTCTCGATAAATTCAAGCCTTTCGAGATCCGAAAGGATAGGCTAGAGGTTATGATCAAACAGGTAATATTACATCCGACTTTTGGTGATAAAAATGCTCTTTGAGACTTGAATATCTTCTCAGGGACGACGAGCTTTGAAGAGTGACCGCCTTGGGAAACCGTTCGAGCTCTCCAGCTCTTACCTATACTACCTTATTCAAGATGATTGTCTAAGCACGGAAGAGAGGTCAGAAGCGTTGAAAAGTTTGTTATTCGCTATCATTTTCGACGTTGTTATATTGGCTTATTAATCATAGATATCACGGTTGAGGAACTTTCCAAACATGTAAAGGCGCTGTTATCCATGCTGAAACTTGTAATTCTAACCAATGGTAATTTAAGGAAGAAAGTGAGTAAGGCATTATTTCAATGCTCGTATACCATGTGTTTATGATCGGTAGGACGTTTTTGAACTTGCATCCTTAGTCGAGAAAACATTCGAGCCCGGAACAATCCCAGAAAACGAAGTCCCTAAGCTGCGCTCGCGACTCCTTCCCAAAGGTACGTGAGTCGTATGGTCAGATTGTCTTCTGATATTGACTCCAAATAGGGTGCAGTTTTGTCTGGGATTTACCTGTACCCAATCCTAAGGAGGCCAACTCAAGCGTATCATATTATTGTCATGTTGGCAATAAGTCTGATACACACACATACGTTACATGCTGTCTGCTTTCCAAAATCTTGGCTGAGCCGGCGTTCGATTTTCTTCGAACGAAAGAACAACTCGGATACACAGTTTTTGCTAGTGCTTTGGCAGACATTGAGTCGATCGGTTGGTGCTTAGTGATAGAATCCGAGATCGACTCGAGGTATGTCGAGTCGCGCATTGATGCTTTCTTGATGTATATGCGCAGAATAATCAGGGATATGACCGACAAAATGTTTAAGAATCATAAAAGGTCACTTCAGAAGATATGGACAGAAAGGGATGGCGGCATGGCCAGAGAGACAGACAGGTTCTGGGGCACTATTCAGGATGGGTATTATGCTTTTAAAAAGCTCGAGAAAGACGCAAAACTACTTCCGAGTATATCGCTAGACGAGGTGTATTCAATGTTCAAGACGTGTCTCGACCCATCGTCAACAACACGCTCCAAGCTTTCCATTCATATGCGATCTCAATTACCACCTAAAGCCCCAGAAAATCCACCACCTCCGAATGTCAGCAGACACGCGTCTCAGAAGTTCCTCGAATTGTTGCACAAAGAGCACATTATCGTAAGTAGAGATGAATACAACTGGCAGTGCGAGGTCGAACCAACTTTGCCTGAAATGCATGAATATCTAAAGAAGACCTGTTTTAGCGAAATGCTCAATAGCAATCATCGCAAAGTCAAGGACCTGTTTCGACAGCTAAAGAGTCTTGTGAAGAATTATCCAGCAGAGCCCGCCTTGAAATCTACACAGATTAAGGATGGTACAAAGTTCAAGCATAGTCTTGCTCTCTCTGGGTTTGCAACACCAGTTCAGACATTTGAAGTGGAACATCAATAAGTATATTTTAGAGCCTGTTCGGCGCGTGCGATCTCACGAGATATCCCTGCCAAAAAAGAGAGTACAATCTTGCAAGATCATGATGTGTCACGTCACGGCCCAGGAGCTGTTCGGTGCACACAATCTTGTATCTCACAAGAGTCACAACGCGTCGCCCTTCTCCTGCCAAAAATGAAAAACAGCTCAGACCTGTTTTTCAGAATGAGATTACAGTATCTCATTTTGTCTTTCATCCACTCAGCACACACCACACCACCAAAAAAATCTCAAAAAATCTCAAAAATAATGTAGTTGTAGAGGCCTTTCAGACTTAGGCTTTATTTTATTTTTATGAGCATTGTAATATACTTATTTTGCCATTCACAAAAAGTGAGCATTTTGTGACAACTCAAGTTCCAACCGTGAGAAAATAAATTCAAGATATTCCCACGGTTGACATCATGATAGGGACTGGCACGGTTACCGCCGCAGAAATCCGCAATCCGTACCGCGGATAGAGCCATCCGCGGATGAAATTCCCACGGTAACCGCAGAAACCGCGGTTGGACGCTTAGCACGGTTAAAAAGAAAAGGGTTACTAAATGTGTTTGATGATGTGACTTTAGTCACAAATGTGATGCTTTACACACTAATTACATACAAGTCATGAGAACTTGCTACCTTTCAAAGTTAGCTTCGTAGTATTTTGCGGATCTGCAGTAACCGCGGTAACCGTGAGAATTTCATCCGCGGTATGGTATCCGTGGGAAATTATCATCTGCGAAACCGCAGTAAGCTCTATCCGCGCCAGTCCCTACATCATGATCTCACGGGATCATGATTTGGTGCGATTTTGCACCGAACAGGCTTTAGCATGTGGGAATGCAATTAAAACACTATAGGTACTGGGCATATCATAGAAAACAATGTATTCTATATTAGCCATGAAATCTTTGTAGCTAGTCTCAAAGTTGAGCACGAAAAAAACCTCCAGAATAATAAAATTTACTCATATATTGAGTATTGATATAAAAGTCTTTGAATTATTGTATAGTCTCCAGCACAATTATTTAGGTACCAATGATGGACCAACAGAATACATCAAACACGTCGTTTAATCCTGAGCAACAGAAGGAAAGAAGAACGAGACCCTGATGCGGTGCTTGTAAAGCCATTCACACTCTCTTAAGATCGTTTCGGGATACTTACATGTAGGGAAAACAGCACGCAGTACTGGGCTTCTATTTGGAGACGTCAACAGATTTGCGTTGTATCTAAAAGCCAGAGAATTTTTGGCTCGACAAATAGCGTATGTTTCTCGCGTTGTCTCTCCTCAGGAGTCAGGATATAAACAGCTTCCAGGCAGTATATGAGGAGTTAAACCTCGTCTTCATTGGCTAGTTACACGTGTAGTAACATTGCGGGCAGAAGAGAAATGGTCTGATGTAGTGCTGGTGGTCTGACCAAGGGTTTTGTTGATGGAAGTCCTGAGTGAAGAGAAGGGTGTGCCTGACGAAGTAGTCAGACGCACGTGATGTGCCGAGGGCGGAGATCATCAATAATTAAATTGATGACTATGTCAGTCCATTCAAAAGCAAATATGTTGACTTTCATCCATCATTGCAGAATTATGAATCCTACCGTATCCTCGTCGTCTTGTGGTTAGCCGAAATATCAAAAGCCGATGTACGCGCGATATACGGAGCGGTCTTTCCGCGATGGAGGCTTCTTTCTGCCCGCTAATCAGACATGCGATCAGATGACTTCATCGGTGTCTCGTTAAAAAAGTGGAAGATGTCCTCTCTGCGGCAGTTGGACACATTCTTCGCCTCCTCTGTCTTGACCAACTAGCCATGATGCAAGTAGCAGGACTTGCGGTGGCACTCGCGGTGCTCTGCTCATTGACAAGAGCCACTGATAATGGCCTTGCTGTCACTCCACAGATGGGCTGGGTGAGTTTCATTCTGCGAATGGCTCTCAGTTGCCCATTATTGATCGGAGAACATTAGAACACATGGAATGCCTTCGGGTGTTCAACGAGCGAAGACTTGCTCCTCTCCACTGGCAAACTTATAGCCGGTTTGGGCCTCAGAGATCTCGGATATAAATATGTCGTGCAAGATGATTGTTGGTCTGCTGGGCGTAACTCGACCGGTCACCTTCAAGTTGACACAACGAAATTCCCGAATGGCCTGTCTACAGTAGCAGATGAGCTTCACGGTCTGGGCCTTGGATTTGGAATCTACTCAGATGCAGGAGCTCTTACCTGTGGCCGGTTTGCCGGCTCTTTGGGACATGAAACTCAAGACGCCGAGACATGGGCAAGCTGGGGTGTAAGTTCTCATTCTCTTCCTATTTCAAAGTTGTGTAGTCATTAATCGACGCCCTCGTCCCAAGGTTGACTATTTGAAATACGATAATTGCTACAACGAAGGTCAATCCGGAACACCCCAGATTTCCTATACTCGCTACAAGACGATGGCGGACGCCCTCAATGCAACTGGACGACACATCCTTTACTCCATGTGCAATTGGGGCGAGGATCGCCCTTGGAATTGGGCGCAGACTGTCGCGAACTCGTGGCGCATGTCAGGTGACATTTATGACAACTTCGACAGACCCGACCAGGCGTGTCCTTGCCCTGGAGAGCAGGGCATCGACTGTGCGCTGCCTGGATTTAAGTGCTCAATGATGAACATCCTAAATAAGGTAGCAAGCTTCCCTGATAAGGGTGTTACCGGAGCATGGAATGATATGGACATGCTCGGTAGGTGTTTATTCTTCTGATGGAGCAGCCTGGAAAATTTAATGAACCCCAATTGTAGAGATTGGCAACGGAGGCATGACTGATGATGAATACAAGACCCACTTCACAATGTGGGCTGCACTCAAGTCGCCTCTTATCATGGGTAACGACCTCCGCAAAATAACGCCTGAGACACTTTCCATACTCTCCAACCCTGCTGTACTCGCGATCTCTCAAGACACAGGCTCGCGACCTGCATTTCGTAGATGGCGTTACTTCGTCGGTGACACCGACAAATTCGGCCAAGGCGAGATTCAAATGTGGAGTGGCTCGCTCTCAGGCGGAGACGCCCTGGTCGTGCTGCTTAATGGAGGCGACAAAGAACGCGAGATGAACGCAACGCTCGTCGATATATTCTGGGACAACATGCCATTGGGCAACCCTCCGCAAGCGAGCCAAGCGTGGGATGTGTATGATTTATGGGGAAATAGGATGGACAATGATACGGCCGCACGGATCATCGCTGCTGCAAATCAGACTGCTCTTGGTAACGCCACCTCGGACCCGAGTACGATAGGTTCCGAGTTCCGGTATAATGCGACCCAGATGGGTGGATACACAGCTGGATTGCAGCAGAATTCGACTGTACTGCTTGGTGAGAAGGTCGGCACTGTCGAACCACATGGGAGCGTGACAGCTACTGTGCCCAGACATGGCGTGGGTGCCTTCAGGTTGAGAGCGCAGGCATCTGAGAAGACGGCGCAGCATCAAGAACTGTGAAGCTGGAAATGGGGTAACATTAATAGGTGTACATTAGCACTGTGAAGATGCGCGCTTATACCTTGTCAATAATTTCTTTTGCTGGGACATACTTGAGTCTCGTGATCGACTTTACGACCCCATTCGGTTTAGAAACGGTAGCTGTGATAGTCCATATATTATGATATAAAGCACATAACTCATTGATCATTGCATTTGGCCCGGTAATGTGAAACGATTACAACTGCTTGAAATAGATAATACTACTAGTAGTAGTACCTGGGCACAACGATTATAGGCACTTGAGATGATTGTTATGCGTCTTCCTTGGTTATACATAACGCACACAACTAAGAGGGGTTCGACTGTTAGTCACAATGAAATTTCACGTTATTTGATCTGTTGATGTACATTTGATCTGTTATCTTCATTTCTGCCATAACGCCATTGATCAGAACCATGAGGCATCCAGAATCAGACGTCGCGCCGCTTCAAACCAATGCGACAACTATTCGGCTTTCGTGCGAATGCATCGTGTACTTCGAGCTGTTTCCGATCAGCCGACGGAAAAAGTCAGATAAGATTGGGAAGGAATAATGGTAATAATACAATGCAGCTTACCGGTTTATCAGGTTGTTCAAGCACAATATCGTACCGACGAAAGATTGATGCGATGAATATATGCAGCGACATCAATGCTAGATTGCGTCCAGTACATGCCCTACATGCCACATAAATGTTAGCGCCTCTTGATAGACAGAGTGTTCGTATACTATGACTAACCTAGGTCCAACCGAGAATGGACTAAACACTTTCTGCATCGCCGCCTTGTCACCTTCAATCCACCTTTCAGGTCGGAACGAGTCCACATCCTTACCCCATACTTTGGGATCTCTATGGATTGTGTATATCGGAACGCTTAGGACTGTACCTTCTGGAAACGACTTTCCCAAGACGGTGATCCCACCTTCCGGAACTTCGCGGGGAAGACCGATGCCTACGGTCGAGTGTACACGCAGCCCTTCATTCACTACCGCATCGAGGTATGACAGCTGCTTGATCTGTGAGTACGTCGCGACATGGTTTTCTGAGTGTCCTAGAGCATTATCAAGTTCCTTTTGAAGTTTGGTTTGCACATGTGGGTTCGCTGCAACGTAGTATGTGATTGCACAGGTAGTGCTGCAAGATTGAGGCACTTTAATTAGTAGTATTCCCATATTTATAAAATCGACTAAAAATCCTCCAAAATTAACACGTACTTTGACGTAGTATCTGATCCTGCGATCAGCTGCACCAACGCTTCCGAGGTAAGTTCCTCTTTGGTCAGTGGTACCCCATCCTCGCCCTTGCCTTGTTGAAGCTTACTCAGAATATCGACTCGTTCCGTCGGAAATGCCAATCGGTTTGCCACCGCTAAAACCACAAGGCCGATGAAATCTTCTACACGCCGCATACCTTTTGCGAACCGAGGTAGACACCGTAGAAAGGGCACCCACAACGGCGGAAAAGCAGCTATCTGGGCTACGCCTTCGCCCTGCTCATTCACAACCTGTATAGCCGGTACTTCCCTCGTATCAATGACTAATTTCTTCACGTCTCGATATTCTGTATCAATTTGGCCATATTGAGCCATGGCGGCCTTATGGTCTATCGCGACTGGAACCGCATCTCTTGCTTTGCGTATCATGCCAAACGGTGTGCCAAAGGCAAGATCGGCTAGAAGTGCGGTTAGAGATAGATGGATCCATTATTTTCCTTCAGCTAATGATTGGCTTACAGATGATGTCAAAGGATAGATAGTTATACCAAGGCATGGCATTGAACCAAACGCGTCCGTCATGTCCCTTCCAGCCTCCTTCGCCTTCAATACCCGAAAAGCCTTTCCGACCTCCATCGCATAATTTGTCCCATTGTTTAAAGAAGTCAGTCAGATGGGTGTGGATGTATGGCTCGAATTCAAGGACGCTCTTCTGAGAGAAGATATGTGAGATAGCTTTACGCTTTCGCGCATGCTCTTCCCTTGACCGAGTATCAAAAACGCTCCGGCGAAGATTTGGCGCGGCAAAAGCATCGTAGTATTCGGATTTCAGCATCCCATTCCCGTGGCCGTAGACAACCTGAAGTGCCTCAGGGTCGCTGATGGATACATGGTTGGGCGATAATCGGACGAATGTACCTATGAGGCAGAATTAATCATATAGCTGAACTTTCATGGATAGACTCATAACGGTGTGCGGTCGAACTAGCTTGCAAAACAATTCCCTACGTATCTGATTTAAATACTCACCAAACTTCTTATGCAATTCGTGCACCACTTCGGACTGACGTCCTTCTAGCGCGACCCGTCCGAGCCAGGAACCAGAGACCTTGGCTAGAGTAGGTCCAGGAATGTCGTTTCTCCGAATATGTTTTGAGTCAACGAAGTAAGACACTAGGTGCACAACGAGTATAATCGCTGGGAGAAGGAGAAGAATCCAAGAATATCCGAGCAAGAAGTTATGAGCGATGTTTGGAACCATTGTCTTCCAGTTACTACACCGAAGTTACACTGTGGGTTTCTCGACGTATAAGGGCTAAGTATCCAAGCAATAGATGAGGCCAGCTTTATAGCTTTATGCAGAGTAGCAAAGTGCGAATTAAAGAACTTTACAAGACAAGTACTCGTAATATCGGAGTGTGCAAACGGCGCATACACTCGTCCGAGAAGCAACTTCAGTGGGAAAACAATCACCTTTTCTGGACTTAGGGCCAGAGTTTTAGCGGTATTGCCGACATAGTTCAACTAGTTGGAGGTACAAGTGCGATTGGGTATTGTTCAATTTGCAAAATGACGAGAAAAAGCTGACACAACACCTCTCGAATCTCACGTTTGCTGCGATTTCAATCGCACGTCTGGCTTCCTTTGCTTCTCTATCTGTTATTCCTCTTCCAATACTAAGCAGTATTCACGCTTGTGCGCTACGAATACTGACAATGAGTAATATAGACAACGTTGGGTGACGGATGATACTTATCAACCTGTTCTTTGTGCTCCACTCGAGAAGTAACAATGCAGGTAAGTCGACCATAAAGTGAGCTTATGACCCGTTGGAGTTGGCCATAACGTAGGCTCCAGTACAGAATCATATCTGTAGCTATCAGTGTAAGGTAGAGAAGAGAGATATTGATCACTGCTACGGATTTGCACAGTATATCATCATGAGCCAGAGCAAAGGGGGGGGGGGGGTTATCAGACGCCGCGGCGTTATAAGATGGAGACTGTGCTTACTACTGAGGATATTGCTCCTTAATTGAATCAGCCAAAGCATAAAGCGAGAGTCAGGAGGAAAACGAGGATATAAGCTTTGCTTTCCAATTCGTGTTTGAAGTCAAATGAAGTGTCGATTTCCCAACTAATACTTTGGGATGCTGGGGAGGATGTACTAGTGGGGAGGATGTACTAGTGTTCTCTGCAGTCAAGAGGTCATCCATTTCTATGGGACGAGGAGATACGCTTGTAGAGGACTCGGAGGAGGACAAGTGGGCGACGCGATATTGGACAGTATGTTTGTCTGTCGCAACGCCACTATTCCTTCCACTGATTTAGAGAAGAGACATAGAAGGGAATAGAATGACCACATACATCACGAAAAAGTCTTAAGTATTATACTTGCTTGTAATCTTGTATATTTTATAAAATTTATAAAATTTGTCCAATTACTTATAATCTTCCTGGGGGGTTAAGCAAGGAAAGTTCAATGTTAAATAAGCAAGAAAAAATACTTTTAAAACTTGGCAATTTCTGATATAATTTTATAAATTGTCAAGTTATACAAGTGATTATAATATACTTCCTAAATTACAAGGTTAAGACATACTTATTAATTTGTGACAGTGTAATATCTGCTTATAATGCTTACAAGTCATTACAAGTGTTTGAATAGCTTGCTTTTGCTTACTATACAATTTTATATCAAATAATTAATTGAATATAATTATATTTAAATTATAGAATACAAAAATAGTAAATAATACACCATTTCTACAGTCCCAACCCCTACACCACCAGCTGCCTCTGCCTCATTCTTCTGCGAGTGGGATTTGTGTTGGACAAGGATGAACACATTCTCAGGCCGTTCAACATAGTCTTTGTCACCACGTTTTGGTCGTTGCTCAGTCCCTGCAAGTTGAATTGCAAGTGTGTGTGGAATGAGGTTGAGCAGGTTGTGGAGATTGAGGCTGCACCTGTGAGACAAGCTTAGAGTGATTAGCAAGTGACAATAAGAGCAAAAAGATGGATGCACTGCAACAGTGTGTAGCAAGT